TGGCACTGCCCACTTGGCTTGGCTCAGTTTTCCTTTCCTACTTTCCAGCATCTGTTCTGCCCATTTTCTGTCTTTTTCTTCTTGCGGTTTCATGTCTTTTCTCCAGTTTATCCTTTTAGACAGCCTGGCTTTCTGTGAGGCCCAGGAGAGCTCTTTTATTTTTATTTTTTTCACTATACACCATTATGACTGCCTGATTTCTTCACTTCCAAGTATCCTATACAACCAACACTTCGTCTTCAGTACTACAAGCAAAACCTGCATAATGGAACAAAGAAAAATCAAGTAGATTACATTATATAAGAAAACAAAGGCAGTTTCACAGTCAAAAACCTGCTACTCTACTTTTCTTTTAGGTTCTCCAGAGAATTACAGCTATATCGTAGTCATGGTTTAAGTAATACTGACATTTTTTGCAGTGCTTTGTCTTCTCAAAGCTTTTAACTTTGCTAGATCATTGTTCTTCACTGAATTTTGAAGCAATAAACATTTCTTAATGCAAGATCTTAGGAGATAGACTTTTCAGCACAAATAGTAAGATTAGGTTTGTCTGAATCATAGGGGATTTTCTTTCTACTAGCAGAACAAAAGCACAAATCCTGCCATTTTACAGTGAAGGAAATTTAAAATTTACATTGCTGATTCTCATTTTGATTAAAAAAAAAAAAAGACAATTCAACTTCTCCCTCCTGGCTTATGTTTTGTTATGAGAGTGGGGCACTTTTTTTTTTTTTTTTTTACATAGTCTGTGACATATTATTATAATTTATACCAGATATATGTTTCATTTTTGCTGTATGGGAATCTCAATTCTATCAAGCATGAGCAATATGCGTAGAACATAAAATGCAGATTTTGCATAGTGCCCTGTTAAGTACTCTGTCACAGGTAGGTCATCCACAGCTGTGGGAACCTATGTGGATTTAATAAACGTTATAATGTTTGGAAAATATCCGTTTGCTATTTCAAATTGATGTAAGATGTATATACATGCATGTATACATATGTGTACTTTCCCATATTATTTGCTGGCACTCACACTTTATGTAAATTATGAAGAAAAAAAAAAGGCTTTTGCAAAATACTTCATTGCAGTTGATGGTTGAAATCAGGAAGAATAGTTAATACCTTTAGTACAATTATAAATCTTCTTTTTCACAATAATTTGATATTTTGGCTAACCTAGGCTTGCTGCTGACTTTTGCAAGTCTTGAGCACATTAGGGTAATTTAAAAGAAACAGAACACGAAATCGTTAATAGCTACATCAAAGTATGACTGTACTGGTCAGGGCAATCATCAAGCACAGCACTGGAGACAGCAAAAGGGCTGTCAGCCACTCCAGCACTGAGGAAGTACAATACAGACATGTCCTGGTGTACTTAATACACATATCCTGAGTCACTGATGGACTATGGGAATGGTTTTTTTTCATGTTTTAACTTAGGAGACAAGATGCCCTACAGTATTTATTTTACTTGGGATAAATTGTATATATATATAGGAATCTGATCACCCAAATGCACCTTTGTGCTAAATTATGACTATGTTTCCTAGTCAAGAGTAAGGTGGATGGTAAAAAAAGATACTTCATTTTTTTTTTAATATTGAAAACGTGAAGATTTCTAAACTAATCTATAGCTGAGTGAATATCTATTTATGTTTTGGCTTTAGTTTAAGGTATGTGAGTTTAAAAAGAACATTTTATTTGTGTACCTGCTGTCATGTTTTGAATGTTGTCCTCCTGTAAAACTCCTGCTATTCTTTTTACTGAAATACTGCAGTAGGATGGAAGCAGTGGGTATATGGTGGTCTTGAGTAGATGCTGAGCTCTGCAACTTCCACTTGTTAATTTCAGTTCTGAGTGACCCAGAAAGGCCACAACAGGGTCCTTGCATTGATGCAGAGTATAGTTATAACCTCTTGAATTTTCCAAAATTATCCATATACTTTAATATTTCAGAAACTTGAAAAAAAATTTTTTCTGATGTCCTTTGTTTCAGACTATGTCATATTTCAAAAAGGAGAGAGATACTGTTTTATATATGAAACAGTTTTCCTTCACTTCAAAATTTGCTTCATGCCCCTCTACATGATACACTCAGCACAGAAAATAGTTTTGTGGTCCAAGTGGTATTTTATCATGTCTTTTCAGTATGCATTTGTGCTGTGATCTGCAAGACTTCTGATTTTGTGACGGTGTTTTCTTGCTTAGGAACTGGTAGTTTTTAAGAAGCAAACCAAAATAGTTAGACTTTATTAAAAAGAAATAAAAAAGATTGTAGCTGAAGTATAATACCTCATACTTTCAATAAAGGCATGTATTCAGAATGTTCTTTGTAATTTTACTTGTGAATATTGGATTTATTTGATGTACTTTGGTCAGAATACCTGTGTTGTTAATAACAGGTAGATAAATACATTATCACTTTCAGATAATGAGGAAATGAAATTTTCCTCTGTATACTTTGTATTTAAAATGAATGCATCCAGAGGTTATGGTCTGGTTTTTCCAAATTTTTTTTTTTAACCTTGCCCATTTTGCTTAGTAAACCACGCAATGAATCTCCTCAGAGATCTCTGAGCTCTGGGGTTGGAAGAGCTGCTACACTGCCTCCAGAAGTATAAAGAGCAAAGCTCAGCAGGACATCTTTCCCTTCTACTTCAGTGGAGAGATGCAATGACAGGCTAAGGGAGGGGCGTGAGCAGAGACCTTCTCAAGGTTTAGCAGAGCACAAGCAGCCATAGTTATAGCAGCAGTGGCAGACCCAAACTAGACTCCAATTTTTGGACTGACAGATCTTGATCTTCCACGGCCAGGAGCAGACAGCAGATGCTGCTCTCCTGTCTTGAGCATCTCCTGCCCTATCTGCTTTCACAACTGTGGTGTGGTGGGCTGGATACGAGACTTCAGTATGTTGCAGTTTGTGATATTATTACACATGTAGCCGTTCACTGGAACCTCTGTTGGGTGCATAGCTGTGAATTAATTACTACTTTTTGTAAGCAAGCCACTGACACATTGGGTTTCTTTTGTGTCTGAAAACTTTCTAACATCAGCACAATTACTATTTTAGCATCTTAATTTTCCCTTATTGGCCATCTGGCTGATATGAAATGCGAAGAAGGCTAACCCTACACAGTAATGATTTAGGAGGAGAGAAGGAAATCTGCTGGGTTTTGGGGGAGGAAGGGGGTTGCTTTAAAGTAATAAGAGCTGATGACATTACTGTTTACAGTCAGCAAATAGACATTTAGAAAATACACTTTTTAATCTCCTAATTCTGTTCTCTGTCTTCCTTTTTTATTGAAATACTGGACAATCCAAGTCGTTTTTTCAGATTTTGAGTACTTCTTTTACACTCTGTCTTCAGTTATTAGAATTTCTAATGGAATTGATAGAGAGAAACCGTCAGCAGATTTTCATTGGATTGAGAAAAAAAAGAAGTAATGAAGATCAGGTCTATTTGTAAGCATCATCCATTTCAACTAGGAAAATACATTTTCACTCTGATACTGATATTATTTCTCCTCAGCACAGAAGTGTGGGAAGTCATTTATGCCTTATTGTTTATTATATTCTTCTATATGGCTTCTTTTTGGTTTTGTGTTTTATGTGTGTATTTTTTTAAATGTTTTTGAGGGGGTTATTTTTGCTGAAATAAAATTAGCAAAGAGCACTATTTGTTCTTGGTCTTCTTGCTCTTTTGTGCTCTCAGACTTGATGTCTTGAATGTATTCATTTATGAGTACAATCAATCAAATAAATAAACAATGTCTATCTGTTCAATTCTGCCGTGGCAGAAACAGCTTGAAAATATATCTGAAAACTTGTCTTTCTTATTGAGCTATCATAGCAAAATACTAAATGGCCCTGTGTTTGCCTTGCTTTGCATACGTTCAGTAGCCAAATTGTGTTTTACATTCCAGAGTACAAATTGCTTGTCATTTGTCTGATAAAAAGCAAAATAATATTGTAATGTCTCTCAGTTTTAGAGAGGGGGAAATATCCAATAGCTTGTATCCAATTAATTAACCTTGATGAAAAATGGTAGCCCTCGTGAAAATTTGATTTGGATCTGCTGAAAGCATACATACATTATTTACTGCAGACCACCAGAAAGACAGAATATATGTCAGAAATTTATCAAGGCAGTTATTTCATATTATTTTTATGTTATGTTTTGTAGACACCTACAGTGTTTTCCACAAATGTACTTCTCCTGTGCTACTGCAAGAGAGACAACTGGTAGCAGCATCACAACAAACTGCTCCTTTCTCTCCAGTCCTTCCTACAAACAAGCAAAGAGTAGTCTGGAAAACAAAACTCACACTAGAAGTCTCATAGAATGACTTGGGTTGGAAGAGACCTCTAGGATCATCAAACTCCAACCCCCCCTGCCACAGGCACGACCACCAGCCTCCATCTCTAATACGAGACCAGGCTGCCCAAAGCCCCATCCAACTTGACCTTGAACACCTCCAAGGGTGGGGCATCCACAACCTCTCTGGGCAGCCTGTTCCAGTACCTCACTACTCTTTCTGTAAAGAACTTCCCCCTGATATCCAACCTAAATCTTCTCTCCTTCAACTTAAAACCATTTTCCCTTGTCCTGCCATTATCTACCTGTGTATAGAGTTGACTTGACTCCTGTTTGTAGATTCCCTTTGGGTACTGGAAGATTGCAATGAGGTCACCCTGCCAGCCTTCTCTTCTCCAGGCTAAACAAGCTCGCTCAGCCTTTCTTCTTAGGGAAGTGCTCCAGCTCTGATCATCTTTTTAGCCCTCCTCTGGACCCTCTCCAACAGTTCCCTGTCTTTCTTGTATTGGAGTCCCCAGACCTAGACACAGCACAGTAGTTTATGGTAGGGGTCACTGAATGGAAACTCAGGCTTTTCTGGCATTGCACAATGGAGACCAATGCAAAACTTTTTCAGATAGATGAATATGAAGACAATGAACACTAATACTAAGAGAGAACATTTTAACTTATGTTTTAGGACTTCGTCCAAAAAGAACTCTGCGCTTGGTGCTGTGGACAGGAGAAGAACAAGGAGGAATAGGTGCTGAGCAATACTACCAGTTGCATAAGGTAAACAATGTCTTCAGATTATTTGCTGGACGGCACTTTTCTCAATAGTTTTGCAATGTACTCATTATTTTTGTCAGAATGTTCAGCTTAATATCTAACTGAAAATAGCGGTTCTAGTTCTGCCTGAAAAAATGTTTTGTCTTCTATCATAAATGTAAACTTCATCCTGTTTTTAACATAAAGTGATTTGACCATGTTTAGACTTGTTCCACTTGGTCTAAGGTACTCTATCACAAAATTGTTCTGAAGCAGATGTTGCATGAAGATCTGCCATAGCTTCCAAATATACTGACTTTCTCAGAATATGAGAATGGTCCACATGTGTTGGTAATATAAACAGATTTTGTTTGGCTTATGTATTTCTGCTTCATGGCATTTTTCCATAATATCCTATAATGTAAAACAAGAAAAATCTTAATTTATTTTTAATAGTGTCTACTCTAAAATGCTGTGCCAATTATTAATTTTATATGATCTGGAATATTGTAAATGCTTGACTTCTGTTTATGCAATCTCTGTTATCAGGATAAAAATACTGTCTACTTTCACAACTGTTTCACCTGTCAACAGCTACCTTTACAAAGTATAGCATGAGATAAAGGACAGCTACATAAAACTATTATGGAGATAAGTCTTCAGAATATGCTTGTTTTTTATTTCCCAGGAAATTTTTCATACAGAGGTTGATGCACTGGAACAGGTTGCCCAAGGAGGTTGTGGATGCCCCATCCCTGGAGGCATTCAAGGCCAGGCTGAATGTGGCTTTGGGCAGCCTGGTCTGGTGGTTTCAACCCCATGGCAGGGCGGTTGAACTAGATGATCTTTGAGGTCCTTTTCAACCCAGGCCATTCTATGATTCTATGATATGGTGCATCAAGAAGAGTGTGGCCAGGAGGTCAAGTGAGATGATCTCCAATCTACTCTGCCCTGCTGAGGCCACATCTGGAGTACAGCGACCAGTTCTGGTCTCCCTAGTTCAAAAAAGACAGGGACATTTGTCATGGTTTTATGATTTTTGGTTATTGGTATTCCATGTGATAGCATATGTAGTGCACTGGAAATTAAAGTGTTAATGCTCCAGTTCCAGGTACCTGTCCCCAAAGAAAAGAACATTCCCCAGAAGACTGTTCACTGTGTTGTTATCATTTCTGCTCAGAGGGAACAGATATAAGGCCTTGGTAGGTCATCTAACCTCTTCTCTCTGCTCTCCTCCCTGCTGCACAACCGGACTGTGCATCTCACCTCAGTGTTACAGTGAGGCCTTATCCACCTTTCAGATACTCTCTCATTGTATTTGATTTATTACCTTTGATTCTAATTATATTGTATTATTGTGTGTTATCTTGCATTCTGGTACCATATTTAGTAAATTAGTTTGTTTCTCCTCAGATCGTTGCAACTGTTTTTAATTATTTTGGGGTTCCCTGTTTCCCTTTTCTGGAGATGTGGATCCTTGGATGCTTCTGCCCTGCTAGTCACAGAACCGGGCCGAACCAGCCCGTAAACCACTGACAGATGTTCTTGAGGGAGTCCAGTGGAGGTCTTCAAAGATGGCTAGGGACATGGAGTACCTCCCATATGAGGAAAGGCTGAGAGACATGGGACTGTTCAGCCTGGAGAAGAGAGAGCTGAGAGGTGATTCCGTAACTGTTTATAAATATCAGCAGTGCGTGAATCATGTTGATGGGGGTGGACTCTTTTCAGTGGTGTGCAATAACAGAACAAGGGGCAATGGGCAAAAACTGGAAGACAGAAATTTCCATAAAAACACAAGGAAGAACTTCTTTACTGTGAGGGAGATGAACAGGCTTCCTGGAGAGGTTGTGGAGTTTCCTTCTTTGGAGGTGTTTAATGCACACCTTTTTGCTTTCCTGTGCAACCTACTGTAGGGAAACCTGCTCTAGCAGGGAGTTGTACTTCATGAACTCTAGAGGTCCCATCCAACCTCTACAGTTTTGTGATTCTCTAAAGACAAGAAGAGTAAGAGTGTGTTTTGGAAGTCACCTGCTGTACAACAGTACACTAGCAGACTGCCAAGAAAGTAATGAATTCCTAGGAGGATGCTTTTAGTGGTAAACAGCTTAACAGAATAAGTACATGGAAACTTCACTTTGAATCAGCCTTGTTGTGATGAACAAAAATCGATTTGCATTTGCAACAGAATGTTCAGAGATAGCACTGTGATGCTACCACTAACTTGTTTAACATTACTAAGTGTTTTAACTACCCATTCATAATGTAGTCATCCTTATACCTCTATCTTATAGGGGAAGCCCAGCTCTCTAGTTTGGAAGATGAATTTAAGAGCTTGCTTTCTTATGTTCAGAGAGGTGGCAGATTGCAGTTTAGTGTGCATTAAGGAATCTGGATTTACTCACAGATGCCCTGATGTTTAGCAGGATTAAACTGACATGAAATATTCTGGAATACATCCCAAGGGAAAGAGCTGCTTCTCATTTACAGAAGTGCATTTTAGAAGAGCTGGAAGGGACAGAGCAAACATTTGGTGTCTGATGCATGCTTCTCGTGGGAAGTTTATCACCTCTGAGGATTTTGGAAAGAGCACCCATTCCTGTCTTGGAAAATCAGCTTTATCCTATGGCTTTAGAACTGTCAGAACACATCAAATTGTCTTATTCACTTCTCATCTTTTTTCAGATAATCTGTATTTCACTATAGTCTCTAGGATTTATATTCAGAAGTAATATCAAAAAATGGGCTTAAGGATCAAATGTGAAAATATAAAGCAGATTTGGGTGTTGTTTGAAAGATACTGGATTACTTTACTTTTAAACTGAAAAAGATGTCTCAAGGTTTGCTGTGCTGATGTGATTCCATCTGGATGTTGTGCTCTGCAAAGAAAGTACAGTCTAAGTTAGCATGGATTTGTAATTTACATGGAGAATTTAAGCAGAAATGAGATCCGTCTGTTGTTTGTTGTTCTTGTTTCCCCCCTGCCATGTGATCTGGCAGAATTATAAATTGATACAACAACAGGACATCACATTTCTCATAATAACAAAATAAAGCAGATTAATACTGTACATTATATTTAGCGTGAAAAATATCTTAACCTTTTAATGATTCACTAGTGCAGATTTCTGGCAATTAGAGTAGTATGGCGCAAAACATTGATTCTTGATATTAATGAGTACAACTGAAGTAAGAGCGTTATTTAAAGATGCCTTGTTAAATGAAAGATGGTCCATATGACTCATCTGCATAGCTGGGCTTATTATGACTTCAGTTCACTACAAACAAGTAGAAATATGAATGCTGTAATTCAGCACAGACAGACATGGATTTCCTTGACATTCTAAATTACACTCTCGTGTCAGTGGAGATGTGGCAGGGGAGAAGAAATGAAGACAATATAGTACTGGACGAGTACAGATACACTTCTTTTTGTAGCCTATTTATTTTTTCTTTCAATTTAATTTCTGTTCTTTTTTCATCATCTGTCATTGTAGGTTGCTGCTGCTGTGTAGGGAATAAGTTACTGCAGAAATAAGAGATAGCAGCCACAAAGTGATTTTAGTATGGTGCGGGATAATTAACTCACATCCCCAGATAGTGGCATTATTTGTATCACGCTCAGGTATTTCTGCAGAACCCAGTGCTGTAGTGTCTGTTTGCTAAAACTAGTCACAGGGTATACTGACTGTTCAGAGCTTTATCAGAAAGTAAGAGCTGCCATATTGAGCTGACCAAAGCTCAGTCTAACCCTGTCTCCTGTTCCTGACAGCACTCAGTAAATAAGATGCCAATGCAGCTAGAGTAAGATCAGTCACCTAGATTACTAACGCAACCATTTTCTCATTTAATGAAACATTTTTTCTGGAGAGAATCTCACAGTCCTCATTCCTTTGTATGATTTTTCCAACATGTTTTCAAGAGTAGAGAACCAAATTCTGTCCAACAGTTTCAGTGGCTCCATTAGTGCAGGGGTGCCTGCTGCCCACCATTACATATCAGATCAGTTCGTAATTTGGGGTAGAAGCCCACAGGGGGAATCACATCTTTACTCCCAAAGAAAATACCCATCAAAGTGCTTGCTGCTTTTAATAGGTGGCCAGTACTTACATTTACTCCTAGACTGGAAAAAGGCCTGGTTTGCCTTCACAATAAAGACTCCTTACTTTGATGAAGAGAAATTAAATAAACATATCTAAGTGTAAATCAGGCTCCAAATCCTGGTATTCAGTGCTAAATGTGAAGTGCTTAGTTTTGTGATCTGGTTGTTGAGGATGGCTCTTATCTACAAACCATATAAATAACTTAAAAAATTTGAAACATTGCAGCTGCTGTTTTCCTATCCAAGTTGCATGAAGGAAGCAGGAGAAACATGGCTTAGTAGTTCTGGAGGAGCTCATTGCATCTGTTATGTACAGATTCTTATATAGCCTTGAACGACAGTACCTGATTGCCTACCAGAAGGCTTGAAGTATTTAACATGCCTACTCTTATGATGTCTTACTGAGGGGACAAGTAAGCATATGTAATTGTCTTACTTTGGTATAGACTTCTGGAGTTTTCACTCTTGGTTTGCAGAGGGAAAGTTCAAAGATGGGTACCTCACACTGCACACAGATTGCTGAGGTTGGTGTTGGTCTTTTGTTCTACTTTCATTTAATTGCTTTGGACTTTCTCTGCAAAAGATCTGTGTGCCGTGAAGACAAGATTACAGTTATTTACCCATTTGAATTAAGGGACTGTGAGTGGCAGATAATTATTTTGCAATATAAGTATTACATACAGTCTCTCAGGGATGCAAAAATATTTTGTAATTAGAATGCAAAGAGATACTGAGCCAAATGGAAACTTTCTTAAATAATTCTATTGGGATCATTGGAGGCATTAATGTGTTAAGAATTTATTTCAAGCTGTACTAGAGAAAGCATTGCTAAAGTATTTCTGCATGTTTTTAGTGCAATCTTAATGATATTTAGAATTCTTACCTAAATATCTGGTGCACATGCTTCAATATTTTAAAAAAGCTT